ACCACTATATGGAATGAAATAAAACATGACATGAATGTTCCTTATGAGGTGCTTACCAAGTGTTGTAACTTTGTAGGTGATCCATCATCCAAGATGGTCGCCAGCGGGGACTTAGTTTAACATAGGACCCTATGGACAATACATACAAATGTCTTCTTTTAGAGAACCAACAAATGGAATGAAACCAAAAATAGCATGAATGTTCCTTATAAGGTGCTGACCAAGTGTTGTTACTTTGTAGCAAATCCATTTTCCAAGATGGCTGCCAGAGAGTGACTTAGTTTAACATAGAACCCTATGGGAAATACATACAAACGTCTTCTTTTAGAGAACCACCATATGGAATGAAATAAAACATGACATGAATGTTCCTTATGAGGTGCTTACCAAGTGTTGTAACTTTGTAGGCGATCCATAATCCAAGATGGTCGACAGCAGGGACTTAGTTTAAGATTGGACCCTATGGGAAATACATACAAATGTCTTCTTTTAGAGAACCACTGAATGGAATGAAACCAACATGGCATGAATGTTCCTTATAAGGTGCTGACCAAGTGTTGTTACTTTGTAGCCAATCAATCAACCAAGATGGCTGCCAACGGGGGACTTAGTTTAACAAAGGACCCTATGGGAAATATATACAAATGTCTTCTTCTATAAAACTGCTTAATGGATTGAAACCAAACATGGTATGAATGTTTCTTTTGAGATGCTGACCAAGTGTTGTTACTTTGTAGCTGATTTGTCATCCAGGATGGCTCCAAGCAGGGGGAGTAAGTTAAACATAAGACCCTATGGGAAATACATACAAATGTTTTCTTCTAGAGAACCACTGAATAGAATGAAACCAAACATGGAATGAATGTTCCTAATGAGGTGCTGACCAAGTGTTGTTACTTTGTAGCTGAACCATCATCCAAGATGGCCGCCAGCAGGGGATTTAGTTCAACATAAGACCCTATGGGAAATACATGCAAATGCTTCTTCTAGAGGAGCACTGAATGGAATGAAACTAAACATGGCATAAATGTTCCTTATGAGGTGCTGATGAAGACCTTAATACATGTTTCTTTATAGATTGAGATCTATTGTAAACTGCAAAAATATCAAGAAAAGAAGATCTACACATGAGTCAACATGAGCAATATTGTCAATAGACATCTTGTTGGAGTTATTGTCCTTATAAAGTCATTTTCTACAATTTCAATGAATTTATTGGTAATTTCTGTAAACTTTACAAAAGTCTTCTGCTTTTGATTAAATTACGGTGCCAATATTAAACCAAATTTGGCCTCAATCATTATTAGGGTATCTGTTATGATTTTAATCTATTTTTACATGATTTCCAAAACCAAAGTAGAATCAGGTGAGCGACACAGGCTCTTGAGAGCCTCTAGTTACAATTTATTGAAATTTTCTCTCAATCTTGACCATTTAATGCTCATGTGCACCTCTTATTTTGTTTTTTTTTAATCAGAATTATTTTCCAGGTTTCCATCAGTAAACAATGTGCACGCTACAGTACACATTTCTATCCTGCTCTCATAAATGCATAATAAAGTTAAATAAAATTTTCTCAAAATCTTCACCATATAATATAAAAGTGCACTTAGTATTTTGTTTTTGATCTCATTATTTTTGGGGTTTATTATTATCACAGCATGGACTTTGCAAGGGGCAGGGGTATCATTTTGTGATTTTGCTTATAAGTGCCTCTAATTTATTAGTTGTTTAACTAGCTTTCAGTAACTGCTGGTGCTTTTAGAACGAAGCTTTGTTTGTGTCTTTTGTCTTCCTGTTATTTGTTTTTTGTGCTTCATGCCAATCTGATGGGTTAAGCTGTTTCCAACGATTTTTATAGTTAGTTCTTATGTTGTGCTGTTACACCACTATCCCAGATTGGGGGAGGGTTCAAATGCCCACAAACATGTTAAACCCTGCTGCATTCTATATGTACCTGTCCCAAATCAGGAGCCTGAAATACAGAGGTTGCCGTCTGTCATGTATGTTTATTTTTGTTTATTGTTTGGTATTTAAAAATCAGGCTTTTGTTTGTTGTTTTTTTTAATTGTTTCAGATTTTTGCTAATTGATGAAGTCCTTACCATGTCCTATAGTTGCTTAAATCCACTTCATTTAGACTCTGTTGGATAGTTGTTTCATTGGCAATCATACAACATATCGTTATTTTGTACTGGTGTAGGTTTGAATAATTTGCATTTTGAAGTGTTTCTTTCTGCTTTAATTTTTCAGAGAAAAGTTTTGAAATTCAATCTTTTTGAATTAAGACAATATATGCTCTCATATGACCTCGCCTCAAGACATTTTGACAACTTATATATGACGTAAACTTCAAGACGTAGCAAGTTAAAACAACATAAGCAGATGATAGGAAGAATAAGGATTTTATTTGTTGTAAAAAAATGCTGTATAAAAAATATTCTTTGATTATCTTACAAAATACATTTAAAAATTGTAAATAAATATGCAATAAAAAAATTGTTCATGATCATGCTTATTGCATAACATTTTCATATGAAAAAACAAGTATAAATAAAGAAATAATAACCATAAATAAAATGCTCCGCTGGGCGCAGCTTGATACTACCGCAGAGGGTGAACCCTGAATAGCAAGTATGGACACAACATTCAAGCTTGATACAGCTCTGAATTTGGATTGTGATTAAATATTTGACACGGCATAGGTTTCTGACACAGAATGAATGTGGTCTAAGAACTTAAAAAATTTTAGTTTACCTATTATTGTCCAATATCCAAAATCTAAATACATACACGGTTAGATTCAGCATATCCCCAAAGAATTTAATTTTTGTTAAAATCAAACTAAGTTTAATTTTGGACCCTTTGGACCTTAATGTAGACCAATTTGAAAACAGGACCAAAAATTAAGAATCTAAATACACGGTTAGATTCAGCATAGCAAAGAACCCAAATATTTCAATTTTTGATGAAATCAAACCATATCATTATTATTTGCTTTTATATATAAATAAAAAATAACCAACTTAAAATGGAAAATTTTAAAGAAAGAAAAAAAGGAAAAAAAAAAAAATCCCCCCCCCCAATTTTTTTAACCCCTTATGATTCAACACCCCAAACTCAATCCCAGCCTTCCCTTTGTGATATGGAACCTTGTAGTACAATTTCATAAAGATCCATACACTAACACACAAGTTATTGTCCTGAAACTAGAAAAATGCTTGTTTTTTGCCCCTAATTCCTAAAATTTTGAGGCAATTACCCCCAAAATCAATCCCAGCCTTTCCTTTGTGGTATGGTACCTTGCAGTACAATTTCAGAGAGATCCATACACTTGAACACAAGTTATTGTCTGGAAACTAGAAAAATGCTTATTTTTGGCCCCTTTTTGGCCCCTTATTCCTAAACATTTTGGGCAATTACCCCCAAACTCAATTCCAGCTTTCCCTTTGTGATATGGAACCTTGTAGTACAATTTCAGAAAGATCCATACACTTACACACAAGTCATTGTCATGAAACTAGAAAAATGCTTGTTTTTTGGCCCCTAATTCCTAAAATTTTGAGGCAATTACCCCATAAATCAATCCCAGCATTCCCTTTGTGATATGGAACCTTGTGGTACAATGTCAGAGAGATCCATACACTAACACACAAGTTATTGTCTGGAAGTTACAAAAATGCTTATTTTTGGCCCCTTTTTGACCCCTAATTCCTTAACTGTTGGTACCATAACCCCCAAAATCAATCCCAACCTTCCTTTTGTGGTATTGAACCTTATGGTAAAATTTCATAGAGATCCATTCACTTAAACTAAAGTTATTGTGCGAAAACCAATGTGTCTTCGGACGACAACGACGACGCCAACATCATACCAATATGAAAAAAATTTGCGGTCGTATAAAAATTAACACAGAATACTTGTAAAAAGTAATCTGCGTATTGCAGTGCATTTGCAAAAAAAATAAATACTAATTCCTATTAGCAGACAATTTTTTTATTTTTCAGTTGTAGTTCTGTCATTGTTTCTAACTATATATAACTCTTTAAGAATAGTAATTTTTAGGAAACTACAGGCACCCTATGAAGTCATGAATTTTAGTGATATTCGGTAACATAAAGAAAACTAACAAAGGTTAGGGGAGGGTTGAGCCCTTACAAACATGTTTAACCTCGCCACATTCTTTATGTGCCTGTCCCAATTCAGGAGCCTGTAGTTCAGTGGTTCTCTTTGGTTCATGTCTGTCATATTTGTTTTTCCTAAATTGTTTTGTTATAAATTAGGCGGTTAGTTTTCTCAATTGAATTGTTTCATATTTTTCATGTCTGATGTTAAAGGAAAAATCCTTTATCTTTTGATCCTTCATGTACTTGAAAAAATATTTATAAAGTCTTCTGCCCATTCTGAAATAACTTGATACATACATTCTTACATTTCTATACTAATCAATGACATATCCTCAAAGAAAGATAGTTAGCCAACAGTTTTTTCCAATATCAAAAAGCGTGTCCACATATTCAGCTAATTTTATGAATTACTAAACCAATATAATTTCTTTTTCAAATTTCAAGAAAAATTTACAGTTTCTACCAACCTTACATTTGTACCAAGTGATAAATTACCTGCAAATTTATATATACACCAAAAATTGGTGTTTTCTCAATTACTCAAATTCTTCTCTTGTAAAAATACTCTTACTTGTACAGTAAATACTACAGTTTTAACTACTTCCACTCATTAAACAAGAATACAATTTTACAGTGCTAGGACTTATATAAGCTATGTACATTTGATGGTTAGCAAAAAAAAAATATTAATAGTAGTATTAGCACTAGACTAGACTGGCAGTAAGTATAGGGAAATACTGGCACATACTGGTCAATAATGGTCAAATGAAATTTTGATAAGACATTACAGTTTTATGTTTGTTACAAATGATCACATTTCATCACCAAGAACAAACATTATAATAATATACAATTATCTATAACACCATGGAACTATAATTGTAATGGTATTTATTATAGTAAGATAACTAGTGATGTCAGAACAATGAGAGCAATATTAATAGACAGCCAATTCATTATGAAAGTAGGGATAAACAGTTTATATAATAATAAATAAATGTGGTACGAATTAACTTTGGTAACTACTGATCAAAAAAATCTTTTTGAAATGTACATATAAAAAAAGTATTTACAAAAATACCAAACTCCAAGGTAAATTCAAAAAGGGGGGAGTCCATAAAAACTGACATAATCAAATGCTCAACTATAATATCAACCTACAGTACGAATGAAAAACAAGTGTCATATTCCATACTTAGTACAGGCATTTTTCAAAGCACATAATGCATTACCAGGAAAATTGCCTAAATTTGTGTGAATTACTGTTATTTTAAAAATATCAAGCTTTCCTACATATTGAGAAAAGTTCTGAAAAATTACATTCAGTTCAGGTACAAAAAAAGGAAATTTATTTATACAGACTGAGATGTCTTTCCTGCTTTGCTGGTCATTATATGTTGAAAGTCATTAACCCTTTCAACGCTACACAAAAAAATAGAAAAATGGCTGCTGCTGCTGCATTTTTTTTTGTGTTCATTCATTAGAACAGTATATTCCTTTTCAGACTGCTGTTAATAATCTTTTTTATTATTAGAGATAGACAAATTAGTGCATGAAAAATGCTCAGGAGAGCATGAACTGTTATGTTATGCAATTATTTTAGAAACATTTTCATCAAGCTACCTGCATTTTCAGGTAATTAACAGGTAAAAGGTGTAAATTATTGTATTTGTGTTGAATTTTGAATAAAAACAACTTTTAATCTTCATTTATTTTTGTTGTTTTATCTGCCATATAATAAAGAAGACACCAGTTGCTCGATTCTGTAGCGTATTTGCACCATACACAACGTATAATGTAAACGTGGCGCAAATAAGTGGATCCGTCCTCAAAATTTTCAGTCAACCTCCGTTTCCGTATATATAGGAATTTTTTTCAGAGACAAGTGCCTGTGAGTTTATATCATTCAAAGTAGTGTTCTATGTTAAAAAATATGACAAAACGTCAAAATAATCATAACGTCATCACATTGTAAGCCTTAAAATGTTGATTTTTGACAATTTTCACTACCAACAAGGTAACAATTTGGTTAATACACAAAAAACTAAGTCAGTGACCATATGATTATTTTATATCATTAAAACAGAAATTTAAGTATCAACAACATATAGTTTTTTAAAAAAAAGTCTGTGTTCGAAATTGGAGATTTGTTGATTTTAAGACAAATTTAAGACCGTTTTATGTGCTTTCTATACAAATGGTCACCTACTTTGAAGAATTCAATCACTCATATTTCAGAAAATAGAATAGATAAAGGCATTATTTTTCAATTTTCAGTTATAGTTCAAGGAGCCAAAGCTGTATGGAAAATTTTAACAAAATCTGTGACATAGCCCAATTACTGTTCCTTGGCCTTAAAATAAAATAACAAAAATATCCCATTACATAAATTTGTCCTTTAAAGAAGATTAGAATCATGGACAAAGAAAAACACTAAAATAAAACCTCATGAACAAGTTTTGCATTACAAATTGCCAAATTTAAACTCTTTGAAAATAAAGTATTACACAAAAGTCTGTGAAAATAAAGTACTACACAAAAGTCTGTGAAAATAAAGTACTACAAAAAAGTCTGTAAAAATAAAGTACTACACAGTAACTATGTACATAAGTCAAATCCAAAAATTCACTGGTAACTTGTCTTTCATATTTATCTTTTTGCCATGGTAAATTCTCTCCCTTTCTTTGATTTAGCATTTGTTATTGGGCATGTTTTATGGGAACCATTTCACAAAGGGTGATATAATAAAAATCAAATTAAAATAAAGAATAAAATTCTTTCTTTCATTCAACTTCTTCTTTCTTCTTTGTCTTATACAGGGTCATGTCCTCATCGTCAAGGGCCAAATTGTGAAAAAAACAGGACTGTGCTTTAAAACATTTAGATTCTGAAAAATTACGCATGCCAACTGTCCTATTAACTTCTGTAAGTATGTCAAATATGTGAACATTGTCTCCTTTGTATGATATTAAGGTAGAATGCAATGCTCTAATCATCCAACCTCCTCCACGATCTGCACTATAAATCGTACTGTAAGTTTCTTTTCCTGAAATATAAATAAAACAAATCACTCGCAAGTTTCACCTGAAAAATTCTTTTTGTCAAATTTGAATCCATTCTGAAGCATACAAAAAGCTTGAAAATGTCTGATGTTTACAGTAATCAGGGTTCCTGAAACATCATATTCTCAATACCATTAGCAGACTTATACTTGAAGTGAAGCTTGTGAAACTGCATGAAAATATTTCACTAGGATAAAGATAATTTTTACCATAAGAGAAATAGGTTTAATTTCAAATGATATCAACTCTCTTTATTTAATTTCAGTAATAATCAAACTCGTAGAAGGTATTTTTATCATTATGTTTAATTGTTGATATTCATATAGATAATCGATGGTTTTTCAAACAACTGGGTGTTTTTCAGCTACAATCTCATCAAAGGGCGACAGGCCTGAGATGAGATGTAGCCGAGAAACATCCTTGAGTTTGAAAAACTATTGATAATCTGTTTATCGCTATTTTCCTCGGTAATGTCAAAGACATATAGGCTTATGAAGTCAAACCTTCTCTTTCTACTTGACTGAGAAAAACCCATATCACTCGTGTAGCATGAGATGGAAAACTATCACACAATAACATCAATTTCAAAGCAAAATTTACAAATATAGTGAGAATTGGATATTGCTTGATATCAACTCGAGTTATTTAATCCATATGATAATAAATGAACCTGTGGTGAGTTTATTATTACTTTTTACATTTAAAGAAATAGAATTGATATCAAGCGATATCCACTTCTCACAAGTTATTAATTATAATTATAATTATATTATAATATGTTTTTTTAACCTATTTCTCTTATGGTAAACATTATCTTTGTTTTAAAAAAGAAAAAAACTGTGACTGGTTGATCTAGTCTATTGCATATACCAGTATTACTTCATGTGTCCTGTTAGTGTCAAACTTTAACACAGTACAAATTGCACATACCAGTATGACGTCATGTGTCCTGTTAGTGTCAAACTTTAACACAGTACAAATTGAACATTCCAGTATGACGTCATGTGTTCTGTTAGTGTCAAACTTTAACACAGTACAAATTGCACATACCAGTATGACGCCATGTGTCCTGTTAGTGTCAAACTTTTACACAGCACAAATTGCACATACCAGTATGATGTCATGTGTCCTGTTAGTGTCAAACTTTACCACAGTACAAATTGCACTTACCAGTATGACATAATGTGTCCTGTTAGTGTCAAACTCTAACATAGCACAAATTGAACATACCAGTATGACGTCATGTGTCCTGTTAATGTCAAAGTTTAACACAGCACAAATTGAACATACCTGTATGACGTCATGTGTCCTAGCTGTTACAGTGTCTAACTTTAAAATCAGCACATATTGCACATACCAGTATGACGTCATGTGTCCTGTTAGTGTCATGCAAACTTTAACACAGTACAAATTGAACATACCAGTATGACGTCATGTGTCCTGTTAGTGTCAAACTTTAACACAGCACAAATTGAACATACCTGGATGATATCATGTGTCCTAGCTGTTACAGTGTCTAACTTTGAAATCAGCACAAATTGCACATACCAGTATGACGTCATGTGTCCTGTTAGTGTCAAACTTTAACACAGTACAAATTGCACATACCAGTATGACATCATCTGACCTGTTAGTGTCAAACTTTAACACAGTACAAATTGCACATAACAGTATGACGTCATGTGTCCTGTTAGTGTCAAACTTTAACACAGCACAAATTGCACATACCAGTATGACGTCATGTGTCCTGTTAGTGTCAAACTTTAACACAGAACAAATTGCACATACCAGTATGACGTCATGTGTCCTGTTAGTGTCAAACTTCAAAACAGCACATATTACACATACCAGTATGACCTCATGTGTCCTCTTACAGCATCAAATTATAACATCTGCATTTAACAAATTTTTGTAAGGTTAAAAATGTACTAGTAATAAAATTTGACAAAAATAAGATTTTCAGGTGAAAAGTGTTAAGTGTTTTGTATATTAGTGAAGAAATCATATATCTTCCTTTCCAAGGAGGAAATGTACATCTTTTTTGGCCTTCGAAAGTCATCAATGAACTAACAAATAACCAATGGAAATGTCGCCAAATTTACAAATATAGTGAGAATTGGATATTGCTTGATATCAACTCGAGTTATTTAATCCATATGATAATAAATGAACCTGTGGTGAGTTTATTATTACTTTTTACATTTAAAGAAATAGAATTGATATCAAGCGATATCCACTTCTCACAAGTTATGTTTTTTTAACCTATTTCTCTTATGGTAAACATTATCTTTGTGTTAAAAAAAAAAAAATGTGACTGGTTGATCTAGTCTATAATGCATTTACCAGTATTACTTCATGTGTCCAGTAAGTGTCAAACTTTAACACAGTACATATTACACATACCAATATGATGTCATGTGTCCTGTTAGTGTCAAACTTTAACACAGCACAAATTGAACATACCTGTATGACATCATGTGTCCTAGCTGTTACAGTGTCTGATTTTAAAATCAGCACATATTGCACATAACAGTATGACGTCATGTGTCCTGTTAGTGTCAAACTTTAACACAGTACAAATTGCACATACCAGTATGACGTCATGTGTCCTGTTAGTGTCAAACTTTAACACAGCACAAATTGCACATACCAGTATGACGCCATGTGTCCTGTTAGTGTCAAACTTTAAAACAGCACATATTGCACATACCAGTATGACCTCATGTGTCCTGTTACAGCATCAAACTTTAACATCTGCATTTTACATATTTTTGTAAGGTTAAAAATGTGCTGGTAATAAAATTTGACAAAAATAAGATATTCAGGTGAAAAGTGTTAAGTGTTTTGTATATTAGTGAAGAAATCATATATCTTCCTTTCCAAGGAGGAAATGTACATCTTTTTTGGCCTTTGAAAGTCATCAATGAACTAACAAATAACCAATGGAAATGTCGCAAAATTTACAAATATAGTGAGAATTGGATATTGCTTGATATCAACTCGAGTTATTTAATCCATATGATAATAAATGAACTTGTGGTGAGTTTATTATTACTTTTTACATTTAAAGAAATAGAATTGATATCAAGCAATATCCACTTCTCACAAGTTATGTTTTTTAAACCAGTATTTCTCTTATGGTAAACATTATCTTTGTGTTAAAAAGAAAAAAAACTGTGACTGGTTGATCTAGTCTATTGCATATACCAGTATTACTTCATGTGTCCTGTTAGTGTCAAACTTTAAATATAGTACAAATTACACATACCAGTATGGTGTCATGTGTTCTGTAAGTGTCAAACTTTAACACATAACAAATTGCACATACCAGTATGATGTCATGTGTCCTGTTAGTGTCAAACTTTAACAAGCACAAATTGCACATATCAGTATGACGTCATGTGTCCTGTTACAGTGTCAAACTTTTACACAGCACATATTGCACATACCAGTATGACGTCATGTGTCCTGTTAGTGTCAAACTTTAACACAGTACAAACTGCACATACCAGTATGACGTCATGTGTCCTGTTAGTGTCAAAGTTTAACACAGCACAAATTGCACAGACCAGTATGACATCATGTGTCCTGTTAGTGTCAAACTTTTACACAGCACAAATTTTACATACCAGTATGACGTCATGTGTCCTGTTACAGTGTCAAACTTTAAAACTGCACATATTGCACATACCAGTATGACCTCATGTGTCTTGTTACAGCATCAAACTTTAACATCTGCATTTTACAAATGTTTGTAAGGTTAAAAATGTAATAGTAATAAAATTTGACAAAAATAAGATTTTCAGGTGAAAAGTGTTAAGTGTTTTGTATATTAGTGAAGAAATCATATATCTTCCTTTCCAAGGAGGAAATGTACATCTTTTTTGGCCTTCGAAAGTCATCAATGAACTAACAAATAACCAATGGAAATGTCGCCAAATTTACAAATATAGTGAGAATTGGATATTGCTTGATATCAACTCGAGTTATTTAATCCATATGATAATAAATGAACCTGTGGTGAGTTTATTATTACTTTTTACATTTAAAGAAATAGAATTGATATCAAGCGATATCCACTTCTCACAAGTTATGTTTTTTAAACCAGTATTTCTCTTATGGTAAACATTATCTTTGTGTTTAAAAGAAAAAAACTGTGACTGGTTGATCTAGTCTATTGCATATACCAGTGAGGCTTGTATAGGGTATATTGGGATACGGGATATTTGCCATTTTAATTTTAGGGATATGGGATATTTGTCCTAAAAATAAATGGGATATGGGATATTGGTGCATTTTTAGGGATATTGAATTTTGAAAATGAAAAATGAAAAAAAAATGTGAAAATTAAAAGTTAAGTACAGAAATATTTACATCTCACTTGATAAAATTGCCAAAAAAAATTTACTAGAAAAAGTTATTTAAGTGCTTTGTTGATTTTCATTTAGTTTTGTTATTATAAAACACCCATGCAACCCCGCATCCCAAATTGCATGATAGGACCCAACACGTACTATTGATCACTATTTTAGTGTTTCGGCAGTTAACTTTTGGGATTAGAGGCTCTGGCTTGGGATGGTCATTTTAGATGCATTATTTTAATATAATCAAATATGAAAATTATTCATGTATATATTGATATATTTATATTTTAATTCTTCATCAATAGGTCTAGTTATTATGACAGATCTGCCATCATCAGGGGTCCAACTGTCAATTTTATGTTAAAGTCTTCAACTTTGATCTACTAAGCATATCTCCAACACTTTTATGTTTGCCATACGCAACTATTGGTGCAGCATTGAATATTTATACACAATCTTCGTCAAACTGTAATAAATGCCCGTTTCTTTATTTATATATATATGGGTTATATTTAGTTATCAAAACTAATGGAATATTTTCTTTTTCCTTCGATTTATTTTGCTGTAATAATTCAGTACGGTCAATTGATAAAGCATCAGTAATACTATCATCTATTTCG